AACAACAACAACAACAACAACAATAACAACAACAACAGCAGCAGCAGCAACAAAAACAACCAGTCGTCACACAAAATAGAACTATCTGAAAAAAAACCCACTCTTTTGTGAAGCATCTCTTCACATGTAAAGATAAAATGAGAAACACGTTCCTACAAATACTATATCATCTAGATGTAAGTGTTCGTGCGGAAATTAATTCTCTTCCTCACAGTGGCATGTTGTAACGATCGGATATCCCAGGACCATATAATGATAATAACTATAGCTTCACGCACTGCTTGGCCAAAGTTGTATTGGTCATTTGGTCGCTGTCGAGTGCATTAAACTAATAAATGCAATATTTATTGGGTCAAATCAAAGCAACAGTAGCTGGATAAACAGGCAACTGAGAAATATGTCCTGATTTTATCTATCTATCTATCTATCGATCGATCTATCTATCGATCGATCGATCGCTGTCTGTCTGTCTGTCTATCTATCGATCTATCTATCAATTTGTCTGTCTGTCTGTCTGTCTGTCTTTCTATCTCTATCTATCTATCTACCTATCTATCTATCTTTCTATCTATCTATTTATCTATCTATCTATCTATCTATCTATCTATCTATCTATCTATCTATCTATCTATCCGACCTGTCGGTTCTCTTTGTCTTATCTTGCCCAGTAATTGAACGTTGCTTCTCGGACCTTTCTGCAGTAAAATACTCCGTCTCTTTTTAACCATTCTGCCTGACCCGGTAAAGTTGTTTTAGTCCCTAGCTAGGTTTCTATGCCCTGTAATTCTCTATAATGATACTATCAATAGCTTCGCGCACCACTTGGCGGAGGTCGTATACGGCTTTCAGAAACTGTCGAGTACATTAAATTAAACCAATACTAATAAATGCGATATTTAATATATATATATATATCTAACGAATACATTTCCTCCACTACCCGGATGGGGTTATTAAGTGAAAGTCACGCTTGTGTGAGTTCTGATACAATGGATTCGCTCACTATCTCTTTATGGAGTCAATGCTACCAACATCAAACAAATCTAGTAGTTTGGGTTGCTAGAGTATAAAATAACACAGAAATTAAACTCCGTTTACGTCATCAATGAGTTGTCATTTTTTCGTTTGTTGCGAATTATTCACAAGACTTGCTTTTAGGGGGCAGAGAAAACTGTGTGTTACTTCCACGGAAGATTGTAGGCATTAATAGCAATACGATTTATTCCTTTGTCTGAGAAGCTTAATATGGGGTGCCCACTACTGCTGGATCGGGCTGATCGCCCGACTTGATTGCCTGAAACGGATAACAAACACAGGGATCGAGTCGGGCGATCGGCCCGATCAGCCGATCCCATACGTAGTGAGCACCCCGTATTAGGCAACCGAGTCGGGCGATCGGCCGAACCCATCCGTAGTGGTCACACCTTATACACACTAAAAAAAATTAGCTTTATAACAACGCGCTTAACAATATTATTTACTTTAAGGGCGACACAAATACACATGTTTGACAGCAGACCAAAGTTCATGTTGTGGGGCACATTTCTTTCGGACAGTCAAACCAGAAATCTAAATTAAATTCATTTTTTTCGTTGTATGCCTGTTGTAGCTTACCTTTTTATGTCTAAGAAAATGAAAATCGAGGTGAGGAATATGTAAAAATAACACAGTTATAACTCTCATTTCTAGGTGCCTCGACATAGTGTGTCTTCAAGCATTATGCTTATAAAAGAAAGAGAATGGGGCACATCTTTTATATGAAAAGTAGAAGCAACACAGATTAATTATATCCTAAAGAGAATTTCTGTTTGATAAACAAAAAAACGTATAATTAATGTTTTGCCTCGGTCGCAACCCCAGTTGTAGGCCTACTGCTCGATAATCTTTTAGGAAGCCCTCTTTTACTGTGTGTGTTACTCTCTTGAAACACCTCTAATCGTCTGCAATTGTTTTGCATTATTCGTAAAACTCTTACTTAAACGAAACGAAAGCCTTTTTTTCGTGAACTGTCTTGTGGTGGATCTGTATGTGTTTCGACGTTACACTGGTATGACAGCTGCGGTAAATAAGTACATAAATTGTTTTTGTTCATTTTGAATGACTAATTAAAAATACGGACTAAAATATTCTCAATCCAGTACGCTCCATATCCTTGTCTTTCTAGTAATAGAGAAGAAGAAGAAGAAGAAGAAGAAGAAGAAGAAGAAGAAGAAGAAGAAGAAGAAGAAGAAGAAGAAGAAGAAGAAGAAGAAGAAGAAGAAGAAGAAGAAGAAGAAGAAGAAGAAGAAGAAGAAGAAGAAGAAGAAGAAGAAGAAGAAGAAGAAGAAGAAGAAGAAGAAGAAGAAGAAGAAGAAGAAGAAGAAGAAGAACAACAACAACAATAACAACAACAACAACAACAACAACAACAACAACAACAATAACAACAACAACAGCAGCAGCAGCAACAAAAACAACCACAAATGACGTCAACAACAATTATTATCCTTTTACTCCAGTCGTCACACAAAATAGAACTATCTGAAAAAAAACCCACTCTTTTGTGAAGCATCTCTTCACATGTAAAGATAAAATGAGAAACACGTTCCTACAAATACTATATCATCTAGATGTAAGTGTTCGTGCGGAAATTAATTCTCTTCCTCACAGTGGCATGTTGTAACGATCGGATATCCCAGGACCATATAATGATAATAACTATAGCTTCACGCACTGCTTGGCCAAAGTTGTATTGGTCATTTGGTCGCTGTCGAGTGCATTAAACTAATAAATGCAATATTTATTGGGTCAAATCAAAGCAACAGTAGCTGGATAAACAGGCAACTGAGAAATATGTCCTGATTTTATCTATCTATCTATCTATCGATCGATCTATCTATCGATCGATCGATCGCTGTCTGTCTGTCTGTCTATCTATCGATCTATCTATCAATTTGTCTGTCTGTCTGTCTGTCTGTCTTTCTATCTCTATCTATCTATCTACCTATCTATCTATCTTTCTATCTATCTATCTATCTATCTATCTATCTATCTATTTATCTATCTATCTATCTATCTATCTATCTATCTATCTATCTATCTATCTATCTATCCGGCCTGTCGGTTCTCTTTGTCTTATCTTGCCCAGTAATTGAACGTTGCTTCTCGGACCTTTCTGCAGTAAAATACTCCGTCTCTTTTTAACCATTCTGCCTGACCCGGTAAAGTTGTTTTAGTCCCTAGCTAGGTTTCTATGCCCTGTAATTCTCTATAATGATACTATCAATAGCTTCGCGCACCACTTGGCGGAGGTCGTATACGGCTTTCAGAAACTGTCGAGTACATTAAATTAAACCAATACTAATAAATGCGATATTTATTGAGTCACCGCAGCAGACTCTGGATAAACTGCTATCTATCTATCTATCTATCTATCTATCTATCTATCTATCTATCTATCTATCTACTTATTTAATTATCTATCTATCTGCAACTGTCTGTCTCTCTATTTGTCTGTCTGTCTTTCTATTTGTCTGTCTGTCTGTGTGTCTGTTTGTCTGCTAGTCTATCTATCCATCTGTCGGGTCTGTCTGTCTTCTTCTTTGTCTTAGCTTATCCAAAACTGGACGTTACTTTTCTGACCTTTCTGCAATAAAATATTCTGTCTCTTGCCATTCTGCCTTGCTGAATTGTTTCAGTTCCAAGCCAGATTCCTATATACATGATCCATCTTCTTTTAGATCCCCCCCCCCAACCCCCTCTTCTTCTTTTGCCTGCTATCTTTGCTTCAAGAAAATATAATATGTGCATGTATTAAGTTGAGGGTAATTAATATAACCATTATTTTAATATTACGTACAGGGTAAATATCACGCAAAGAATATGTATTAGGGCCTACGTACAAGGTAAATACCATGTAAAGAATAAATGTTACGTTAAGGTGGATATTACAAACAAAGACACAAATATTAACTAGAATATACAATTTTCATAAGGAGTAAATGCTACTTTGAGGATCAGTCAACTCACTTTGTATTCGTATACGACCCGACTCCACTTTTTCCAAGCACAATACCGTATCAAAGGCAGTCTACGTTGCACCAAATTAATCGATAAAGAATTGTAGTAGCCTTAATGAACTTATTTATACGAAGTGTCTGCGTGAAGATAAAGTGCGTTGTTCTTAATAAATTGTACGTCATTCCTAAGTGGGTGTAGGGTTGGAGAAGGGTGGGATGGGCACTAGGCGCAAGAACAGATCACGATCGCACAGCCGAATAAGTATGTAGCGAAGATCTACAGGTTTGTCTTACATTAATTTTAACGAGAGTTGAACTCTCCATTTCCCCGATACGACAGTTTTTTTGCAGGGTTTGTTTGTGGGGGTTTTTTAAACAAAATTTGATGACCGACTTTTCATTTTTTTAAAACTATGGTCACTGTATGTGAGGAGTAGGGAGTGCGGTTTGTATCTCACCTCTTAAAATAAAGGTCGTCATCATCATCATCATCATCATCATCATCATCATCATCATCATCATCATCATCATCATCATCATCATCATCATCATCATCATATTGCCGAAGATGCGGCCATGAAAAGGAGGATGTCAAAACATATGTTTGAATGTCGAGGAACAATGGCAATTCCATTGGAGTTATTTGGACGAGTGGTGGTGCCGCTAAGCATATTGACAATAGAGCCTCGCTCTCGCTCGAAGATTTCTTCGTGGAATCCGCCAGGCCCATTGAGGAAGCCCAAAAAAATCATCATCATCATCATCATCATGATCATCATCATCATCATCATCATCATCATCATATATTTCCTAACCATCCTATGTCTCTTTTGGTTTTGTTTTTACTTTTGTTTTGTTTTAATTTTGGCGGGTTTTAAATGGGTGTCTTTTGTTTCTTTTTTGTTGTCTGTTTATTTTGTTGGTTTTGTTTTGTTTTGGGGGGTTTTCATTACATAACATTCATCTCCGATGAGTCAGATCCAGATGGGAAATGTCATGTACAGTCAAGTGTCTTTTCATAGGACAAAAGGTCGGACACATTCTTAGCCAAGAACCCCTATACCCGCTAAAATCGGACTGTAACTTATTTTAACCCTATCCGTACGTCGTGTTTTACT